CGAATATAATACCAGAGTGAAATATATCAATTTTGTAAAAAAAAAAAAAACAAATTAACAATCTTATGTACAACCCTCACTGATGCACAGCAATATTATTTTATTTAACATTAATGCTAATATATGATTACATGAAACTTTTTCACTAGCTCAATATTTGTTCAAATAATTGTATTCGCTTTATACAACAAAGTGTGCAAAATTCACCTGATATGAAAAATACTTGATTTTAACCTTTGCTCAAGACATGACAAATGCAATATTTGCCCAGTGCAAAATAAACACATACCTAATATTGCCTGACTTAAATGACGCACTCCAAGCTTGTACAATTTTGAACTACAAAACATACTAATTTAGTTAGGATCTAATCTGCCAGGATGACCCAAAAATTTGAGTTATTTAAAAAATTTTGTTGCGATTCGAACGAAGTTCACAAGTTCGAGTCACATGGGGTATGTTACACCGCAGAATGTAATATGTTAAGCTATATTTGGAAGCACGTCATGTGATTCAAGGTTCTTGATATCAATCCTAGCCGATTTGAACAAACCTTATTTATAAAAAAAAAAAAAAAATATATATATATATATTAGCCATTTTTAGCGTTCAAATTTGTCTGCCAAAATGGATGGTTTAAGGGATAGCAGGGTTCAGAAACTGTTTCCTCCTTCATTGTTCTGAACCTTTTTGTTGAAAAGGAGAAGGATCAAAGAAAAGCATGTTTTCAAATAGAATAGGTTGAAAATTAAGGTTAAATTTCTTTTTGAGTATTTCTTCTGCTTGCGGTAAGGTGACTTCTTTAAAGAAGTTAATGATAGTAGTTGGTCTGAAACATCTACACCATTCATGTAATGATTGTAATCATCAACTATCTTTGGAATTTTTATTTTTTTTTTTGATTCAGAACCAAACACCACATGCACTTTTGTCGCATTCGTATTTGTTTCTCTTGATGCCATCTTTCCCATTCTACTTTCTATTCTTCACCAACTAAACCATGTATTGTTGACAACATAGTGACTGGCCCATTATCTTGCCAAAAAAAAGCCAATGTGCTATCTATTTCAACACCAGAACAAACATTCCAATCGAGTTTAACACCTTTATCCACTTTCAATTCTTTTGGGAAACCAGAGGAAGTTTTTCGAATAGTTTCACAAGCGCCAATACCGATGCTTCTAAGATGTTGGTAAAGAGAAATGCTAGTAAAATAGTTATCTATGAATACATTGTACGGAAGTTAATAATATGGAAGTTGCTCAACAAGGTGGTAGACAAGACAACCTGTTTAACTAAGACCATTCACTTTTATTACATCACTAGATGATATGCGCGATATTGGTAGGAAGGTGTAGATATACCCAGATTCACAGAAAGATAAAATTTTAAAGCCTTCTGGTGTTGGCTTGTTCTTAATTCTGACTGTGTGAACACTTCTACCGGAAAATCTGATT